GAGGTCCGGACCTCACCCATCCTCATGGTCTTCAGAAAAGCTGTTAAAACCTGGCTGTTCTGGCAGGCCTGGGGCTGTTGAACTTATTATGTAGGGTCCAGCCCCGATCAGAACGTATGCGTGTTGGGGAATTTTAAAATTATTTTTATTTTATTTTGCTTTCTTTTCTTGTTCTTTGTAAGCCGCCCGGAGTCCTCGGGATTGGGCGGCCTATAAATCTAATAAATTGAATTGAATTGAATAGTCGTTTTGGAAAAATCTTCACAAGCTGATAAACATATCAGTACTTCAGCACCTGTCATATGTTGTGAACCATCAAGCAAATACTTCTTTGGAACAAAGTGATGACCTGACCTCTTAGTTCTAATTAGATGTCCCATTAAGGCATAAATAGTATTTGGCAGTAAATATAAGCATCCCCCCCCCCCCCCCGAAACATAGATACACAATTAGGTGATGAAAATCCTTTTCAAAGAGATGTGCAAGACAGGAAATTTCCACACCTGAATTCATAAAATTTCTTTGCTATCTTTTCCCCATTTGTCTAGAATCACAACTTAAAAGTTTAGATTCTATCTCAATTAAATTATGCAGAATGAATGCAATGAAAAAGGAGTAAGTGGTAGAAGTGTAATCTGCAGCTTCTCCAAAGTTTCTCTTTTCCTCCTTTGTGCAATTATGAAAAATAATTTGGAGGGGAATCCTGTAAGTACAGGAGAACCACAAGGAGGGAACAAGTTTAAAATCAAAATAGCAGGTCAAAAAAATGTATCCATAAAAGTTAGATCCATAAAATTTTCTTTGTTCTAGTCTAGACCATAGAAACCTTACACCACAAGTAATGCATTAATTTAAATTACCACAAAATTCAATATTGGTATCAGTAATAAGAACCAAAAAGCAGAATATACTCTACAGCAAGTACAGGAGAATAACAATAATTACCTGACATTTTAAAATTATGAAAACATTTTTAGAAAGTATTTTATTTGGTTTTGAAAGTTCTACTGTTTATCCTGGAGAACATTAAAAAAAAAATACAGCACATCATCAGTGGAAAAAACCTTCTCCTAGATTGCAGTTGCCATTGTTGAGTAGGACCACTCATGAAGGACTTTATATATAGTACAAGGATAGTCTTTCCAGTATCTCAGATAAGTCACCAGCCCTTATGATTCTCGGTTCTCCATTCTTTTTCCTCAAAGCTGATTTTTGTTTAAAAAAGAAATTGCTGTTAATGCTGTATTCTGGTTACTTGTTTGTCATATGTTTGTACGTAGTCATTTGTGCAAGAGTTAACAAAGCCTGCTTTTTTGCTAGATAGTGTTTTTTTTTTAAAATACTTCCCCTCTGTATCCTAAGAAAATAATGTCATTGGATGTTTTCGTAATATGGGCATCTGTCGTTCAATAGAATTGTGGCGGTGATAATGAATCCATGTTTTCTAGTTAAGATCATAATGTATTGATTAGCACTTGGAAAATGGGAAAACTAATTCATCCTGACATAGAATTTCCAAATAACTACCGTATTGATAGTTATGTTTGCTTCAAAGGTATTGGATATACATGAAAATCTAGCAAAGGTGAATAGAAGGGTAACTTTCACCCTGGTTTGTATTCTCATCTCTCAGGCCATCTTACCATGCAAATGGCGATGACNGGTGTAGAGACAAAGGATGACCTTGGATTCTAGAAAGGAATTTTATTTTGGCTACATAGCATTTAACTCCATACCATCCCCCCTCTTATTTTCCCACAATAGAAACAGCATAGTAGAATAACAGAAAGTGTGGCAGGTCAAAGATCCAAAAGGGAATATGGCTGCAGGCCTGACATAAGTAGCTTTTTTGGTGCTATTTTTTCCACAGAGTGGGAGTGGGGTAAAATTGTGAATTTTTTACTGCGGATTTTTAATGTTGTACACTGCTCAAAGTCACTGTGTGTGAATTGGACAGCTATACACATTCGTTTACTAAATAGATATTAATAGGTTTGGTTTACTGATTTAGCCCAGGGGTGAAATGCTACCAGTTCGGGCTGGTTTGCCCAAATCGGTAGCAAAAATTGCTACCGTTCGCCTAATTCTGTAGTAAAAAAATGCTTCAAAAAGTTTTAAAAAGTTCTGATGACCAGCTGTGTGACAATCAGCTGTGCTGTGCAATCGTCAGAACTTTTTTAAGCATTCTTTTACTACCTATTTGCCAGACCCGGTAGTAAAAATATGCTTAAAAAAGAAAAAAAAAGTTCCGACATCAGCTGTGTGACAATCAGCTGTGCCTGATTGTCTTTGAGGTTCCTGCTTGTTGCAGGGGACATTTTGTATAAAGTCCAGCTGATTTTACATTGTATGTGAGTCAGTTGTGCAGCCACGCCCACCCGGTCACATGACCACCAAGCCATGCCCACCAAGTCACGCCCACAGAACCGGTAGGGAAAATTTTTGAATTTCACCACTGAATTTCACTGATTTAGCCCCAATATTTGTAACTTGCTTTTTTGTAAAAACAATCCAAATCTGCATATAGAAGCAGCAGCAAGATAAGGCACCTTTAATTATTTTAAGCATTAATCATTTTAACTCTTCCGGATTTGAGGCTTAACAGGCCATGTAAGAGACTGGAATCAGAAGCCCATGCTCTGCTCCTGAATTACCATATTTTTCGGAGTATAAGACACACTGGAGTATAAGATGCACCAAGGTTTTGAAGAGGCAAATTAAAAAAAAAACTAGGTAGGTAGATGGAAGTATAGAGAGGGAGAGAAAGAGAGAGAAATACAGTAGGTAGGTAGGGAGAGAGAGTAGGTAGGTAGGTAGGTAGAGAGAGAGAGAGAGAGAAATACAGTAGGTAGGTAGGGAGAGAGAGAGAGCAGGTAGGTAGATAGAGGGATAGAGAGAGAGAAATACAGTAGATAGGTAGGTAGGGAGAGAGAGAGAGTAGGTAGGTATGTAGTTAGATAGAGGGATAGAGAGAGAGAGAAATACAGTAGGTAGGTAGGGAGAGAGAGTAGGTAGGTAGGTAGATAGAGGGAGAGAGAGAGAGAAATACAGTAGNGAAGAGAATTTGGGAATGAAGATGAGATACTAGGACTCTGGAAATTTTGAATTTGGAGACTGAGTTCAAAGTGATTTTATCTGTAGATCAAATCAGCTGCCTGTGAACAAACCTAGATGCTGTTGCAAAGGCACAGGGTGAGCTTTTCCTAATTGATTCAAAACTCCAAGTTAAATCTACCCATTTCAAACATGCTTAACTGCATCCATTTTCACAAATGGTAATCACATGACCCCAGGACTCTGCAACTGTTGTAAATAGATGCAGGTTGCCAAGTGTCTGGATTTTGATCACATGACTCTGGGGATGCTACAATGGTTATAAATTCAAGGACAGGTTGTAAGTAACATTTTTGGTGCTGGTGTAGCTTCGAACAGACACTAAACAAATGGTTGTAAGTTGAAGACTACCTGTATATGGGCAGAAGATGTCTACAAAGAAGGAAGGACTCACTGGAGAAGAGCCTAATGCTGGGAAAATTGAGGGCAAAAGAAGAAGGGGATGACAGAGAATGAGAACGCTGGATGGAGTTGCCGAAGCAATAGGCGTGAGCTTGAATGGACTCCAGAGGATGCTAGAGGACAGGAAGGCCTGGAGGAATGTTGTCCATGGGGTCATGATGGGTCGGACACAACTTCGCAACTAACAACAACAAATGTTGACATGTATTTACTTGCTGGTCTCATCTTTCATGTTTCCTCCATATCAGTCAGATGAAATATTGAGGGAAGAAGAAATGTTGGAAATGCTTGACATCCCTTTCTGTGTTTCTCAACCTTGGTCACTTGAAGACAGGTGGACTTTAACTCCCAGAATTCCTCATTCAGCATGGCTGGCTAGGGAATTCTGTGAGTTGAAGTCCATGTGTCTTCAAGTGGCCAAAGTTGAGAAACACTGCCTTGAGCCATCAACAGTCATCAGCACCACTGCTCTGTTTTCTGGTCTTGATGAAGTGCTTGAAGAAAGTTTTCCCCCAAATCTCACCAACGTCATTGCGTGGAGGCAGGTCCTCATCCTCACAGCTGGGATATCTCTCTTTGTGGTCAAGTAGAAGGTAATAAATCATTTTCTCCTGATTCTCTCTGAAATGGAGACAGGAAAAATGAGGGCGTATGCTTAGAATAAAAATGGGTTGATTGTCTGACTATAGAAAAGATACAGTCCATTTTATTTTCCAACTATTTGCACATGTTTCCTAACTAGCCTCTTCTCCCATTTTTCCTGCCTTCTATCTACATATCCATCACAAACAAAACCACAATTCTATTTCCTCCTTCATCAGACACCTTCTCTTATAGTGTACCCACTCTAACTGCACTCTGCAATTTTTTTTTCAATCATGGGAGCTAAAGGGGTGAGATGATTATCCCAGCTTCTCTACAGAAGCACAGTTCCTCCAATATTCCAAAGATGCTTTTTTCAAAAGGCAACTGGACATTGTTTTTCCTTGGAGATGTTTTGCTTCTCATCCATGAAGCTTCTTCAGTTCTTTTGGATAAGAAGCAAAACGTCTTCAAGGAAAAACAAGTCCAGTTGTCTTTTGAAAAAAGCATCTTTGGGACAACCATGACCTGGATGATTGAGAATCTCCATAGACAGTTCCTCCAATAAGTGTACAAATCATCTTTTTAAAATCCTACAAAAAGGAGTTAGAACACTGCATCTCCTCAGCATAAGGATCAAAATTTAAGGCAGGGTCTTATGGTCCCATTCAACCACACACACCAGTTCCTCACCCTTCATTTTGCAGCTCCTGCTTTAGCTTGTTCTTATCACGGAAACAGCCCAATGAGTGCATGCTATCCAACACGTCAGGGTCCAGCTCACTGACTGACTGAATCCTTCTGATTGTTACCTTCCGAGGGATTGGTTGTTCTGGTTCTGGTTCATTCTTCCCTCCCCTGGAAGAAGAAGCAGTGTGTAAATCAGATAAAAGAAAGACACTACCCTGTTAAAATCTTGAGGAGTGAGATAAAAGAGTCATGACCTCTGGCAAAAGCCATTGTCAAAAATGACTCATTTTCAGGGGTTCACAGTGGAAGTGGAAGCAATGTTATAAA